TAAAATCACATGAAAGTACATGTATGTACATTAGTTAAAATCACATGTATGTACATCAGTGAAACTCACATGAAAGTATATGTATGTACATCAGTGAAAATCACATGAAAGTACATGTATGCACATCAGTGAAACTCACATGAAAGTACATGTATGTACATCAGTGAAACTCACATGAAAGTACATGTATGTACATCAGTGAAAATCACATGAAAGTACATGTATGTACATCAGTAAAAATCACATGTATGTACATTAGTTAAAATCACATGAAAGTACATGTATGTACATCAGTGAAACTCACATGAAAGTACATGTATGTACATCAGTGAAAATCACATGAAAGTACATGTATGTACAAAAATGTACATCAGTGAAACTCACATGAAAGTACATGTTTGTACATCAGTGAAACTCACATGAAAGTACATGTATGTACATCAGTGAAACTCACATGAAAGTACATGTATGTACATCAGTGAAAATCACATGTTTGTACATCAGTGAAAATCACATGTATGTACATCAGTGAAAATCACATGAATGTACATTAGTGAAAATCGCATGTGTGTACATTAGTGAAAATCAGAGTGAACCTTTACACAGTTGTGAAGCATGTCATTAATTTTATTAAATTTCAAAGTTTACTCCTCCTGGGAATGAACTCCAATTTTTCACAAAGTTTGTTTTTGTACATGTACATCCAATCTATTCTATCACTCCCAGTGCATTCCATCCACATTTCTTGATTCTGTCTGTCATGTAATGCTGTCATTGATGGCTTTCTCTATGTAACATTGTGGTTTACTGGAACAAAATAGTTTACCAAAATAATGTTTTTCTTCTAATTGTAGAACCAATGTTGTGACTCCTGTTATAGATGTAATAAATGATGACACATTTGCTTACCAGCATGGCAATGATGTTCAAGTAGGGGGTTTTAGTTGGTCTCTCTTCTTTAACTGGCATCCTGTACCAAAGAGAGAGCTACAGAGAATAAAAAATGACCATACTGCTCCAGTCAGGTACGACATTAAGTTTCCTATCGAAACTTTTCATCTAATCTTTCACAAAATAAACCTCCATCATTTTTTTTTATCTTTTAGTCCCCGTTTGGACGCAGTCAGAAAACGGGGACTTGTGTTTTGACGTCTGTGCTTTTGTACGTGCTTCCGTCCGTGCGTCCGGACATGTATCTTAGAAATGCCTAGACTAATCACAATCAAACTTCACACATACATCATACATGATATTATACATATGCATATAAATTTGTTTCATGTTTTGATTCATGATGGCCGAATGGCGGCCATTTTTGTTCTAAAAATCAAGCATTTCTTGGCTGTTTACAGATGGATTTTGTTCAAACTTGGTATATACGTTGGACATTATAGGACTTGATGCACATCATTTTTTTTTAGATAAGATTCAAAATGGCCGACTGGGGAATTATAATTGGTCTCTGTCCGTCTGTGCGTCAATGCGTCCGTCCGGAGTCATATCTCAGAATCCCTTGGACCGATTCCGTTCATTCTTTGCATGTGCCTAGTACTTTATGTGGGACATATGCACATGCAGTGGTTTAGCGATTCGATTCAAAATGGCCGACTGGCAGCCATCTTGTTTTTTGAAAATGTTGTATTTTGGATATGCTTTGTCAGTTTTCATTCAAATTTAGTACATAGATCATACATGTTTGGATACATATCCCTGACTGTCTGTGTGTCCGTCTGTCCATGCGTCAGTCTGTCAAACGTTATATTTCAGAATCCTGTAGACCGATTCGGCTCATTCTTTGCATGTGCCTAGTACCTTATGTGGGACATGCAGTGGTTTAGCGATTCGATTCAAAATGGCCGACTGACAGCCATCTTGTTTTTTGAAAATGTTGTATTTTGGACATGCTTTGTCAGTTGTCATTCAAACTTGGTACATAAATTATACATGTTAGGATGTTTTAATGAATGTGGTTCTAGTGCCATATCTCTGACATATCTTTTATGTTCAAATTTTAATATTCATTACACATCATGTCATAGATATACAGATATATTGGTTTGACGATCCTATTAAAAATGGCCGAATAGTGGCCATTTTTGTGCTAAGACATCAAATATCAAACATTTCTGGCATTTATGGATGGATTTTGTTCATATTTGGTACATACATTAGACATTACGGGTTCCTCATGCACGTTATTTTATTTTTTAGATCAGATTCAGAATGGCTGACTAGCGGCCATTTCGTTTTAATAAATGGGCTTCTAGAGCCATATCTCTGACATGTTTTGGCTGACTATGTTCAAATTTTATATATTCATTATACATGTATTCAAAATGTCTGATTTTGTTTTAATTAATTCTGTTCCAGAGCAATATCTCTCAATACTGGTTTGGCGATCAGATACAAATGTCAATCATTTAAATGTTAAACAATCGTCATAATAATATTCCTGACATGGTTATATTCCAGCTATATTACTATAAACTAAACTATATATCTTAAATTTGATAATTAACTGGGACTGTGCCATGCATGGCTTGTTTAAATTTTGACCAAGACCTTGTGACTTTTTTTCAAAAAATTAACCAAAAATTTTGTTTTTTGAATCTGAATTATGGTAAAAATTTTACTAAGAAGGGTTATTGTAACGTGACATTAGTGGTCAAAATTCACTCATTACAAAGTTATGAAGTACCCCTTGAGTTGTGTGAAAATATATAAATGTTCAATAATTGTGGTAATAACAATTATTTTACCCTAATCTACTAAAAATTTGTTCACTTCTCCCCCAGATCTCCAACCATGGCTGGTGGTTTATTTGCGATTGACAAATCATATTTTGAAGAGCTTGGTACTTATGATCCAGGGTTTGATATCTGGGGTGGGGAGAATTTAGAACTTTCATTTAAGGTAAAGTGGTATGACTTTTATGTTCTAGCTGTGATTATATATTTTGTCTTGCATTAAGCAAATATCAGATTGAAATTTAAACCTACTACCGGTATTTAGTGATATCGTGATTTAATTATTGATGGATAACATTTAGCAACTGTCACCACCCTACCTGGCTTTGTAACTCTATTGAAAATTGGCAGCTACGAAATTTGATAGTTTTTTTTGATTGATGAAAATTTGTCTCAAGAAATTAAAGTTGTTTATGATTTAATTGTCCATCCTCTTTTGAAGATTCGTGTTTCTCTTGAATAATAGTGTTTCAATTTCAGATATGGATGTGTGGTGGTGTATTGGAAACCATTCCCTGTTCACACGTTGGGCACGTTTTCCGTAAAAAGTCGCCATACCATTTCCCACCAGGAACTAATTATGTAAACAAAAACAATAAAAGGTTAGCCGAAGTGTGGCTGGATGAATATAAAAACTTTTATTACCGCTTACAACCTGTGGTGGCTAACACTGATGGTGGTGATCTCTCAGAAAGGTTTGCTCTCAGAGAGAGGCTTAACTGCAAGAGCTTCAAGTGGTACTTAGAAAATATTTACCCAGAATCCTCCTGGCCTGTCAGTTATAAGACAATGGGAGAGGTACGTTAGTTTGTTATTTATACTCTTATTGTCAGTTCTTTTGTCTATTCTGTTGCGTTCTCTTTTGCATATGATTGCATGAAGTTGGTTGTATGCTGTATAGCCGAAACTCAATACATCCTTGATAGAAATATTTACAAGCAAATTCATTCAAGCTATGTGAAAGTTTGCCACAAAGTCAGGTCACATGATTTGTATCAAAACCACCTGCACACTGAGTTTGTCAACTCAGACTTGTCTGGTAATTAGTAGTGATGACAGTTCTTATGATACAGGTGAATCCTGCATTTTTAGTCCCCGTTCAGACGAAGTCCGAAAACTGGGACTTATAATTCGGTCTCCGTCCGAATCCCCTGGACCGATTCCGTTCATTCTTTGCATGTGCCTAGTACTTTATGTGGGACATATGCACATGCAGTGGTTTAGCAATTCGATTCAAAATGGCCGACTGGCAACCATCTTATTTTTTGAAAATGTTGTATTTTGGACATGCTTTATCAGTTTTCATTCAAACTTGGTACATAGATTAAACATGTTAGGATACATGTTCATGACGATTTATTTCACAATTGGATCAAAGATGGTCGACTGGCAGCCATCTTGTTTTTTGAAAATGTCGTATTTTGAACATGCTTTGTCAGTTTTCATTCAAATTTAGTACATAGATCATGCATGTTAGGATACATGTCCCTGACCGTCCATGAGTTCCTGAGTCTGTCCATCCGTCCATGTGTCCGTCTGTCCCTCAGTCCGTCCGTCCCTCAGTCTGTCCAGAGTCATATTTCAGAATCCTGTAGACCGATTCCGTTCATTCTTTGCCTGTGCCTAGTACCTTATGTGGGACATATGCACATGCAGTGGTTTAGCGATTCGATTCAAAATGGCCGACTGGCAACCATCTTATTTTTTGAAAATGTTGTATTTTGGACATGCTTTATCAGTTTTCATTCAAACTTGGTACATAGATTAAACATGTTAGGATACATGTTCATGACGATTTATTTCACAATTGGATCAAAGATGGTCGACTGGCAGCCATCTTGCTTTTTGAAAATGTTGTTTTTGAACATGCTTTGTCAGTTTTCATTCAAATTTAGTACATAGATCATACATGTTAGGATATATGTTCCTGACCGTCAGTGAGTTCCTGAGTCTGTCCATCCGTCCATGTGTCCGTCCGCCCCTCAGTCTGTCCAGAGTCATATTTCAGAATCCTGTAGAACGATTCCGTTCATTCTTTGCATGTGCCTAGTACCTTATGTGGGACATATGCACATGCAGTGGTTTAGCAATTCGATTCAAAATGGCCGACTGGCAGCCATCTTGTTTTTTTGAAAATGTTGTATTTTGGACATGCTTTATCAGTTGTCATTCAAACTTGGTACATAGATTATACATGTTAGGATACATGTCCATGACGATTTATTTCGCAATTGGATCAAAGATGGTTGACTGGCAGGCATTTTGCCGTGCTCTGTCAGTTTTTATTCAAATTTGGCACATACATGTACATGTACTTTATACATGTTAGGATGCATGTCCATGAAAATTTGTTTCAAAATCTGGTCAAGGATGGCCGATTGACAGCCATCTGACCTTTTGGCCTTACTACTATATTCCCACAATTTATGTACCATTTTCATTCGTATTTGGCTCATACATCATATCACTGTTTCATAATCAGATCATGCAAAAATAAATATTGTAGAATTGTACTCAATGACAGGTGTTAAAATGCAAAAATAAATATTTTAGAATTGTACTCAATGACAGAAGGTGTTAAAATGCAAAAATAAATATTTTAGAATTGTACTCAATGACAGGTGTTAACATGCAAAAATAAATATTGTAGAATTGTACTCAATGACAGGTGTTAAAATGCAAAAATAAATATTGTAGAA